TGCAGTTTCAGTTTCTTCACCTGTAAAAACAATATAATCCTGACCTTGAAAAATCGTATCTATGGCACATGATACAGGGTTGGCATCTCCTAATTGTTCATTGCTTTCTCCTTATTCTTTTCAGTCCTCCTTTCCAGAGAAACTTACTGGTTTTTTGATTTGCCTCCTCTTCCCCCTGCCCTAGATGTGTCAGAGTCCTGGTGGTGCTGGGGGCACTGTCTTGGGTGAGGCTCCGGGTGTGTTAAATATGCTTGGAGCTGACAAGCTGGGGCGGTTGCGGCGCCTACAGGAACGGCTTGTGGCCCCTCAGAGCAGCGGGGGGCCCTGCCCACCCCCAACCTTCCCAGGCTGTCAGGGCTTCTTCAGGGACTTCATCTTGAGTGCCAGCAGGTAAAAGTTCCCCGTGTCTTGCAGAGAGTGGGGACAGAGGTCACAAGGGGTTTGTGTTCCCAGAAGGGCAGACAGTTTTCTCTCCTTTGCCTGGAATATGTCAGGGTGGGACTGGGTGATGTCTGGGCTCCTCCTAGCTCACACTTCCTGCCTCCATTTCCCTCCTGTTTTTTTCACCCACATAGGTAACCTCATTGCTCGTTGGCCTCCCCTGTCTAACTTGCTGGGCTTTTCTGTCTGGAGCACCTCTTCTATACTGTGGTTTTTCCTACACCTCTTCCAGTGCCTTTTTCCCCCTCCCCTTCATAGCTTCCAGTTTAATCAGCATCTCATGGACAGTCTGAGTTTGAAGATCCGGGAGCTCAATGGCCTTGCCCTGCCTCAGCCTGAGCCTAGTGATGAAGATGGGGAGTCGGACGTGGACTGGCAGGTGAGAAAGCAGGACCAGGGAGGTGATGGGGTTCCCTAGGAGGGAAAGGTTATTTTCAAAAAGAAATCTGTAACAGATTTGGTTGTGTTCTAGAATCCTTATGCTTCAGACCTTATACTTCCTTGACGCCCTGCAGGGTGAACGGAGGCAGTTTGCTGTGGTGCTGCTCAGCTTGAGGCTTCTGGCTAAATTCCTGGGCTTTGTGGCTTTCCTGCCGTACAGGGGGCCTGAACCACTGCCGACACGTGAGCTCCAGGACTCTATTCTGGCCCTGCGGAGCCAGGTGAATGGGGGCTCTGGTAAGGAGGGAGCTGGGAGGAGCTGCAAGGCAATGGAGTTAGAAGGCTTTCCCTAGCCCCCAGGACCCGCCCACTGACTGACCTGGCTCTGCCAGGTGCCCCCGGTCCTGGATGTGCGGGCTCTGCTGCAGCAGGGGCTGCGGGCCCGTCGAGCCGTGCTTACGGTGCCCTGGCTAGTGGAGTTCCTTTCCCTCGCTGACCACATTGTCCCCATGCTGGACTACTACCGCAGCATCTTCACCCTCCTGCTGCACCTGCATCGGTGAGTGCGGAAAGGGTGCGGGCGGACCGTTGCTGAGGCGGCTGTTTATTTTTATTTATTTATTTATTTGGGGGGTGGGTTAGATTTAATTGTTTGTTTTTATTGGAGGGACTGGGGATTGAACCCAGGACCTCGTGCATGCTAAGCACATGCTCTACGACTGAGCTATACCCTGTCCCGAGGTGGCCATTTAGAAGAGGATCGAGCAGCCTGTGCTCCCCGTGTGGTACCACGTAACCGACCTTCAGGGGAGAGGCCAGGCCTTAGTCCACAAGGAAAGTCAGGGGACACTCACTTGTACTTTGGCCCTTTTCTATTCCTACTGTGGCCCAGCTGAGAGGGAGCACAGGTCTAGGAGGGGCAGTGGGACCTGGTCGCCTGCACAATACAGTCCCTTTTAGTTCTGCTTTTGAGAATCACTTTCCCACTGATAGCCTTCTTTTACTCCATTCCATTTCTTTCTTTGCACAAACTCTGTTTACACCCTTATTTACTTTTTAGGAGCTTGGTCTTGTCAAAGGAAAGTGAAGGGGAGATGTGTTTCCTGAACAAGCTGCTGCTGCTTGCTGTCCTGGGCTGGCTTTTCCAGGTGGGCAGATGGAGAGTCCAGGTTGGGGAGGGAAGGTGACTACTGTGGCGGGGATGGGGAGAGGGAGGACGCCTGAGTCTGAACAAGGGCGAGGCCAAAGGATGAAGAGTAGGAGGTACAGGGATTGCCATAGTTTGAGGAAGCTTGCTTGAACCTGGTGTCTGAGGCCTAGAACCATGAGGTAGGAGGTGTGATGAATCAGCTTGCGCTGCCCTAATCTCTTGCCAGATTCCCACAGTCCCTGAGGACCTGTTCTTTCTGGAAGAGGGTCAGTTGGATGCCTTTGAGGTGGATACAGTAGCTTCAGAGCATGGCTTGGTAAGTGTTGGGGTCCAGCCAGAGCCATGGTAAAGAGTAAAAGAGACAGGCTGCCCAGCGGGAGAGAAGCCAAAATAGAGGCTGAAATCCCATGTAATTCTTACATGACTGCCCCATTTCTGGCACACTGGGAAAGAAGGGAAGCCTTCCCAGCACTGGCCTGTTCTTTCCCCAGGACAGCATGCCTGTGGTGGACCAGCACCTGCTCTACACCTGCTGCCCCTATATTGGTGAGGATACTGGTCTCCCCGCCAAGAGGGCCCTCAGTCCTGGCCTGTCCCTTCATGAGTTCCCAAAAGGCACCCTGTAGGCCTAGTACCGTAATGTGTTGTTCTGTTCTTAGGCACTCTCTGGGTGCCTCATTCTCTCTATTCCACAAATGCTTAAAGTCCAAGATGCTTGGGAGGGTGGGTTGTTCTAGAACTAAGCACTTGGGCTTCCCTGACGCAGGAGAGCTCCGCAAACTGCTCGCTTCATGGGTGTCAGGCAGCAGTGGGCGGAGTGGGGGCTTTGTGAGGAAAATCACTCCCACCACCACCACCAGCCTGGGAGCCCGGCCTCCACGGACCACCCAGGGGCTGCAGGTAAGGGGCAGGGCTGGAGGCAGGGGCCTCCCAGTGGGGAGGGGAAAGGGAGCCCTTCACTGCTCTGCTGTGCTCTCTCCTCCCCCCAGGCACAGCTGGCTCAAGCCTTTTTCCACAACCAGCCACCCTCCCTGCGCAGGACTGTGGAGTTTGTGGCGGAGAGAATTGGCTCTAACTGTGTCAAACATATCAAGTGAGCATGGGTTGAGGGGGTTGGGAATGGAGGTGTTGAGGGTCCCAGACTCATTTCCTTACCATTTTTTCCCTTTTAACTCTTAACACCCTGTTGCCAAACTGAGGAAAGTCGTCTGGGGGATGGTGGGGAGGATAAGGGCCAGGTGGGATGGGGGAGGCTCAAATCGCTAGCATTCTTTGAAGTTAGTTCTGACCAGGTTTCCTTGAATTTGCAGCCCCTTTCCAATTCAACCCTTCCAACTACCTCCAAACCTTGCTGTTCCTGCTGCAGGGCCACGCTGGTGGCAGATCTGGTGCGCCAGGCAGAGTCACTTCTTCAAGAACAGCTGGTGACACAGGGACAGGAAGGGGGAGATCCAGCCCAGCTGTTGGAGATCTTGTGTTCCCAGCTGTGCCCCCACGGGGCCCAGGCACTGACCCAGGGGCGGGAGTAAGACACCAGGCTGTTTGGACCCTCTCATCTCCACTCTCTGCTTAGCTTTTACTTCTATCCTTTTTTCCTCTTTCACATTCATCCTTTATTCTATGTCCTCTCCTCACCCTGCTTTTCTTCATTCTTTTTTTGCCTGCTTTGTAAGTTTTTATCTTTGTTTTTAGAGGTTTTGGGTACCAAAGTCCAAAGTTGAATTGGAAGCCTATCTGGTTGGGTGTCCCGTTCTCCCAGCACCTGGGGGTGGGGCCGGAGGGTGGACAGTGCTTTCCTCTGAGGCAGAGCCCTCCCACCTCAAGTGATTGGTGCAGCCAGGGCATTTCCTTCTGTGAGCCAGGCTGAAATATCTAGCCATCACTGACTTCTGTTTGTCTCCTTTCAGGTTCTGCCAAAAGAAGAGCCCTGGTGCTGTGCGGGCATTGCTTCCCGAGGAGACCCCGGCAGCTGTATGTGGGAAGGAGTCCTGGGGTTAGCGGGCTGGGAAAGGAGCACTGCAGGGCTGTGTGTGCATGTGAGACAGAAAAAAACATGCACAGGAGGCTGCCGGTGGCAGATGGATCTGTCCTGGACTTGGGCATTCATCACTGTCCCTAACTTGCCCCTGACTCTGGCAGTTCTTCTGTGCCACAGGTTCTGAGCAGCGCAGAGAACATAGCTGTGGGGCTTGCAACAGAGAAAGCCTGTGCTTGGTTGTCAGCCAACATCACAGGTAAGATCCAGGAAAGGGGTGTGGCCGACCAAGTTTGTCAAAAGTGAACTGGCAGAAAGTTGGGGGACACCTGGGGGAGACAGGGTTCAGAGCCAATCAGGAAGGGTGTGGGCTGGCATGCTGAGCCTGTGCAGGGCTTCTCTGGTGACCCCTTTTCTGTCCTCCCTCTGACTCGCAGCGCTGATCAGGAGGGAGGTGAAAGCGGCCGTGAGTCGCACGCTTCGAGCCCAGGGTCCTGAGCCGGCTGCCCGGGGGGAGCGGAGGGGCTGCTCCCGTGCCTGTGAGCACCATGCTCCCCTCCCCTCCCACCTCATCTCCGAGATAAAAGTACACAGCTCCCTACTCCCTTCGGCTCCCCTCCTCCCTCTCCCTGCTCTCTTCCTGGCCTCCCTTTCTCCCTCGGCTCCAGTATTTGTGTAGCAGCTTCCTGTGTTGTCCAGCTAGTTCCCGTTTTATTCGTTATTGAATGGGATTAGGTAGGGCAGAACTGAGCTGAATCGTTTTCATAATTGCTCTTCTCAGCTTTTGGTACTTGACTCACCCAAGAAGGTGAAAAGAAAACGGGTAGCTAAGAAAACTTGACTGAGTATATGTTACACAGATGACAGGAGTGGGGTGGGGAACGGCTGTCCAGTGCAGTAGGGAAGTCTCTAAGGGGCAGTCGTTCTAATATTGGGGTAGGATTTCAGAAATGTTCTATGTAGGGGGTGATGCTTTTGACTTACAGCCAGTAAGAATAAACTATCTAGAGCAGGAGTCAGCAAACAACCCATGGGCCAAATCCAGCCTGCTGCTTGTTTTTGTAAATAAAGTTTTATTGGAACACAGCCATACTCATTTCATGTACGAATTGTCTGGGGCTGCTTTCGTGCACCAGGAGCAGAGCTGAATGATTGGGGCAGAGACCTAGTTACTGTTTGGCCCAGGTCTGGGGCAGTAGTATAGGAGTAAAGATCTGGACTAGGAACTAAGAAGGAATGACTAAAATTAGAGAGGATATAAAGAGGAGATGCCATCAGCTACTGGTTTTCAGTATGCAGAGGATTTCTGTACTGAAGCCTCAATTCTCCTGAAAAGATGAACAGAATCATAAGGGACAGAAATGTTACAACATACGTAGTGGGACAGTTCCCCTAAATCCCCTGAAGGACGTTCAGAATAAGATGCTCTCTGGGAGTTGACTAGGTGTGACTTTATCCCAAGATGAGTGACATCTCTGGAGCTCTCTGGCAGCACATTGTCCCTCGGCTTACCTGCTCCATCTTTTGCCCTATTAGCCACTTAACTGCTTCTCCCAATTGTGCTGTCTTGCCCGAGCCCCAAGTCTTAGGGCTCAGTCTCCACCCCAGGGCCCTGTCTTCCTTTTCCTTCTGCTTCTCTCCACTGGCTGATCCGCATCCCAAGCCTGGCATGAAGCCTTACTCTGCCTCTACCCTCACTCTCTCCAGGATGTGCTCTCGCTGGCCGTGGGGCCCCGGGACCCCGATGAGGGAGTTTCCCCAGAGCATCTGGAGCAGCTCCTAGGACAGCTGGGCCAGACACTGCGGTGCCGCCAGGTGAGACATGGCAGGATGCTCTCATGTATCTTGTCCAGTGCCCGAGAACTAGAGCTGCCCTGGCTCGGGCTGCTGCTCTAAGGATGGTGCTAATGTCCAGGGTCTCCCTGCTTTTCCCCCACAGTTCCTGTGCCCACCTGCTGAGCAGCATCTGGCAAAGTGCTCTGTGGAGTTAGCATCCCTGCTTGGTATGGCTCCTTTTTATCACATCACTTTGTTGCCAGATCCCCCAGTTCTCAGGGTTGGGTACAAGCAAGAGAGAAAACGGAGCTTTCTTCTGCTCTTCCTCCCAGGGGCTGGCCATGTGACGCTGCCTCCATTTCTTAAAGCTTGGCTTTCCTCTCTTCCCACAGTTGCAGATCAAATTCCTGTCCTAGGGCCCCCGGCACAGCACCGGCTGGAGAGAGGGCAGGCTCGAAGGCTCCTGCTCCTGCTGCTTTCCCTGTGGAAGGACGACTTTCAGGTGCCCGTTCCGCTGCAGCTGCTGCTGAGCCCAAGGAACGTGGGGCTTCTGGCAGACACTCGGCCAAGGGAGGTGAGCCGGAGAGGTGGGTGGATGGGGAGCAGGCAGGCTTCTTAGAAGCCTCTGCAGTCATGTTTCACACCCATCACCCTCACCCCAAATGTATTAGCTGGTTTAGTCCCCCTTTTCTGGGGCTGGGCTCATTTTTTCTTTGGTGCTAAGATGGACTCCCTCAGGCACCTACCCCAGCACCTCTTAGAGCTCTATGGTTTGGGAAATCATGACAGAGGCAAATAACTTCTGCTCAGCTCCTCCTCCCTCCTCAGCAGCTCTGTCCTTTGTACCAGGGCTGCTGTGCAGTCCTCACCACCCTGGCCTCCTCCTCTGTGTGTTGCAGTGGGACCTGCTGCTGTTCTTGCTCCGGGAGCTGGTAGAGAAAGGTCTCATGGGACGGATGGAGATAGAGGTCTGTCTGGGCAGCCTTCATGAGGCCCAGTGGCCAGGGGTAAGGAGTCCTTGTCTCCTCCTAACTGGGAAGAGAATAGGTATCATATGTCCCTTTTATCATGAAAGGAGGCAAGTGATGGGGCCTGGCTTTCTTAAGATCTTCCCAAAGCTCAGTGGATTTTGTGACTGTCCTGAGGCCGACCCTGAAATGGAGTGACTGCTCTGGGGGGCCTCCTTCACATTTAGTTTCTTCAGCCATAAAATGGGAGTAATTTATACCTCCTAGGATTTTTCAAGATGAAATAATACACATTTTAAGTACGCACCAGGTGGTTCTGAGCCTCCCATTAGAGTGCACGCTCCCCGCCGGAACTTGAGCATCCTGGAGTACAGATGGGACAAGGCTTCAAGTCCATTTCAATGTAGAAGGCAGTTGGGAAAAAAAATAACTAGGTTGTCTACTCACTGGTTAGCTAGGGCTCAATATTTGGGATTGACTTTTGGTAGAAAGGATGAACCATTCAGAATTATGTGTCTGCCTTTTCTTTCCTCTTTCTGCTTATTCCAGGATTTCTCTGAAGAATTAGCAACACTGTTCAGCCTGTTTCTAGCTGAGCCCCATGTGCCAGAACCACAGCTAAGAGCTTGTGAGCTGGTGCAGCCAAACCGGGGGACTGTGCTGGCCCAGAGCTAGGGCCGGGAGGTGGCCCTCCCTTGGGCATCTCACCAGAACGCTGGAACCCAGCCTGACTGTGCCTCAGGAGGAGGCCCCAGAGCCACCCCAAGTGCCCACTGCCGACTCCTGCTGGTGTGGGAGTAGCTAAGTCTGTCTTGAGGCTTCCTGCTCACGTATGAAGGAAGCGGGTGGTTGCCTGGCATGCCACCGGCTGGAAGCTCACCGTCCCAAGTCGTAGAGGAAGGACAAGGGGTCACCTGATTCAGGATTGTGGTGGAAAAGCCTAGAGACTCCAGTCCTGGAACAGAAGAGTTGGCATTTATTACTTGGATACTAAATGAAATGACGTGTGGGGATTCGACACAGGATTCGAGCCCCACTTGCTGCTATCCCAGCATCTCTTAGAGCTTTGTGGTTTGGGAAATCATGACAGAGGCAAATGACTTCTGCTCAACTTGTGAGTAAAGTTAAAACATGAATCTTGGGAGACTGCATTTTTTTTTTTTTTTTACCACCACCAGGAGCTGGACTGTCATCTCCTTAAAAATGTGCAACAGATGAGGTGGGGCTCGCCCGACAGGAAGTTGCCTTTTCCCCGCCTGCCTTCAGCCCCGTGCACATAGTAAGTCTGACCCTAGCTCCATCCAGGGGCCAAGCACGGGCAGAACGTTAGCGCTTTTTAAAATAAACTGTTTTCTTTACCGAGGGCTTCATGTCTAGTTATTTTCACCTTACTCTCTTCCCTACAGAAGGTTGCAGTCTCAGGTAGGCTTGGAGGTGGGTGTTGACCGGGCGGAGCTGTCCAAGTGGCCTGGCCACTTAGCCGTGCCTAACGTTCCATCACGTGGGGCCCTGCAGGCCAGAGAGCCAGAGGACTCTGTTAACTCACTGCCAGCAGTATTGACTTCTGTGTGCAGCTCCCTTTAAAGGGTTAGGATATTGTGCCGAGTTTCTACTCACCAGATACTGCCCACTGAACTAAATGGGGGCAGCTTTTGTGATGACTGTTTTATTGTGGCTGAGGGTGTCTGAGTTGGCTCAGAAAAGCATGTCTACAAATGATACACTGATTTTGGCTAAGAAAGCACTACCTTGATAATGTGCATCAAATTCACTCCTGAAAAATTCATGGTTTTTCTACTTTGGCAGTGTGTGCAAAGAGATTCAGGCTCTTTCAGGGGAAGGAGAGGGTACTCAGTGAACCCTCTTGAAGTAGCTTGCAAAATCTGTGCAAACGTGTGTATTTCTTAGAGGAACAGTTCCCAGCTGTCAGAATTCTCCAACCGAAGAAAGGGTAGTAGGTAAGATGCTCTGGGCCTAGAGGGGTTTGCTGTCTGACTTTAGCAAATCTGGTGGGGAGCCTTTACTCACAGTAGGTCCCATCAACACAGAAAGTTAAAATGGGGGTGGGGAGGTCTCACACCACTCTAACCGTTTCTGCCCAGTCAGGCTGTGACACTCCCTACCCCTCAGCTCTTCCTAGTTAATCACTCTGTTAATAAGTTTGCATCTGAACCTTTTTCTTCATCTCTTCATTTTCAAAGGCCTTAATTCTTGTCCTTTAAATCCAATTTATACTATAGCAAGTTCTGGAAGTTCGAATGCCTGGGAACCAAAACAGTTCTAAGAAATGTTCTATCTTTCTGCACCCATCAGGTGTGGTGGAACGAAAGCACTGCCCTGGGAAGCTGAGCCCGGAGGTAAGAAGCAGGTAGTTACTTGAGACACCCAGCTCCATGTGAGGTGGGACAGGCAGGCAAGGGGGCAGGAAAGCCTGAAGCCACAGGGATGCTGGGTTAAAGGCCATTCAGTTAAACTCAGCATGGGCCCAACTCAGAAAACTGCTGGCCTGTGTGGACCTTAAAGGCCTCCTTTAGGCCATCAGTAACATAACAGGAATTACAGACAGGCAGCCAATGAACTTAGTATTTAGGTTCCTTTCCATATACCTGCTCTCTGCTAATTGTCTAAAATAGTGGTTTTCAAAGTGTGGTTTCCAAGCAAACTTATGATCACCCGGGTCTTCCTAGAAATACAAATATGTGGGCCCCTCTCCTGGCCTACTGAGTCAGAAACCCTGGGGCGTAACAAGTCCTTCAGGTGATTCTGACCACAATGATCTCTTGAGAACCACCTGTCTAAACCAAAGTTTGACTTCATCATGGTCGTTTGGAGCCAGGTCCCGGGATTATCCTTAATGCTTCCGCGTTTTGCTGTAAGATCAGCCTCAGTTAATGTTCTCTAGCTTTGCTGACTCACATGCCTGCTGTGGGGCTTCTCTAGGTAGGGGTACGGTCACCTCCGGGCTACTCACGTCTTCAGGTTCCCGTTGCTGGCTCTGCCTCAGAAGTCCCAGAGGTGCACATCTGTTGAGCTTCCTCCCAGGGGACTGTGGTCACCGCTGGGTGTAGCGATGACTGTTCTGGAATCCTCGACTCAAGTTCGTATTAGGGCCATAGGCTGCCACAGTTGGCAACTAACCTGGTTGCCATTTATGTGCAAAGCAGCGCCCAGCTCATGGGAAACCCTCAGTACATACGCGTAAACTATACTTGAAATGGGGCCATGAGCAGTTGCTGCCATCATAATCTCCAGACTGAATTCTGAGCTCAAATGACACACTAAAGCTATCCCAGTCTTCACTGAATAAAAGTACATGTCAGACTTTTACTTTGCAAATGTTCTGACCTTTCCAGTCAGTGGTCTTAGTAAGAGATTTATATGAAAAAAAGATGGGCGTACATAAATAGGGTGTTAAATAAATCAAGTGTCACAAAAAATTGTAACAAGAAAAATAAGTTTAAAAGCAATTAAAAAAAACCTTCAATAATATATAAATAACTTAATCTGAGGTAAGAGAAGAAAATCCTGCAAACACTTTTAGAAAAATAAATCTCTACTGTACAGTAATTTACCTTTTTACCACATCTTGTCAATCCCTGTGTGGTCTCCCTCTTCTGGTGCGCAGAACTGAAACTGAGAATCTTGCCCATCCCTACCACTTACAGGTAACCACAGAGAATATTCAGTGCTCGGGTTCAGCCAGGCTAAGGTACAAGAAAACTGAACCCATTCTCCAGCCCATCCTAGACTAGAAGGGGCGACAGCATCACGTGGAATGCTCGAGAGACCGCTGAAGGCTGGGACCAAGGCTCTGAGTGAGGTAAGGAATGGAACTGAGCTTCCTCCTAACAAGTCACTTACCTCCTCTAGGAGGTCCATCGTCTTCCTTCCTGTCTTCAAAAGACAACTTTCCCTCACTGAAAGACAAGTGAGAGACAACCCCCCACCCCCAGTCCCCTCAAAGAGCTAGGCCCTCGCCCTGACCCCAGCTCCATCCCACGAGCTTCTATGGTGGTCCTCCCACTCCACTGAGCTCTGGGTGATGGCTCTGCCTCAGAGCACTGCTCAGTGCTCCTGACTGGAGCAAAGACCCCAACAAATGTCTTCTCCTGAGAGAGAAAGGAAGAAGGGAGCAAAGCAAAACTTAATAAAGCATCTTGTAAAAATTCAACAAGAAGAAACAATTCTAAATCAGTGTTCTGGTTTGTGCAGCTGTTTTTTTAAACCATTTTTCTGTTTTGGTATTTCCTAGCACTTGTCCCGCCGTGGAGCTGAACGCTGGAGACAGATTCTGAGCAGAGTCTCGGCCGATGGCTGCTTGCTTCCCTCCTAACCCAAGGGCTGCGCTGAACTAAGGAAGCACTGTGTCAGCACCGCAGTCTCCCGGCCCCGCTGGCTGTGAGCAAGTGGCCTGTCTGCCACAGGGTCCCAGAGATGGGAAAGGAAGGGGAGCAATCCAAAACGTGACGGGAGCTTCATTCAGTCTGGATGGCCAGGGCCAGGAGCTCAGATCCCCTTGCTCTGCAGAGGTGCCAGCCGTGTGTGACCAAGAGTACTGACCGGCCTTTGTGGGCAACTCGGGGCTGAGGGCTGGCTGCCCAGTCAGCACAAGCAGGGAGCCTCGGCTCTTCCTGCGTCGAGATACAGAGAGCAACGAGAGCTGCCCCAGCATCTCTGGGGCATCCTGAAGCGCCATCTTGATGGGGAGATGCTAACTACCAAGGAAGGAAGCCAGTCTGGCTATAACCAGCGGCTGCTGTTTGATGAAGGAGCTTAGGAGCTGAGGGGGAAATCCTGGAGCACCGAGTTCTACCTGAAATAAAGCAGAGAGGGAAGAGTTAAAGGTGGAAACAGAGCCGAGAGCACACGCCAGGGCACACTTCAGCCATAAGTAGCCACCCCGGGCTGCTGTGATGGCAGAAGCTCTGAGCTGAACTGCCTACAGCCCTGAGCTCTGCTGTTCAGGTCTAGGCAGAGGCCTCACTTCCCAACGACAAAGGTCAAGTCGGAACTGAGGCTGCTGCTTTGCCTCACAAGGACTCATCTATGTCCTGCGGACCGGGGGAACAGCCGCAGAATGTAGGCCGCCAGGCTCTGGTAATAGCAGCTTTAGAGAAGGGTGATCAATTCTGTCTCATTTCTTCCACTCTGATTCCTCACTGATTTGTGACCCACGAAACCCCCGAGTCTCCAGCTCTCAGGTCACAAGTCCTGGGTACTGAAGGATGTTGAACAGCTAAACAAAAAACTCCCATGGGGCTAGGGTCAGCCGCACAGGGCAGATCACCTGGGCCAGGTAGATGACTCTGGTGACCTCCTTCCCTTCCACAGTGAGGGGCTGCAGGATCCAGGCGCTGGGCAGGATCTCTCCCCGCACCATCTCTCTGCTGGGTCTCGGCATGGATGCATCATACACAGACTGAGCTGCCATGATAGACAGTGGCCCCTGGAAACAAAGTAGTGTGAGTTCCGCCTACGTGATGTGACTCAAACAGGGCCAGGCTCCTGTGCAGTCAGGACCATGGAAGGCAGCACCCAGCCAGCCTTTAAGCACCCCTGCCCCCAAACCCAACTTGCCCTCCTTCTCCTGGAGGACCTGATGCACAAAGACTGCATCTCACAACACACCGGCCCAGGTTCCTCCCTCCATATCTTTACCACTGGCAAGGCAGGCACCTCTTTGGCTTCCACGCAGACACAACAGAAATCCCGTGGCTGCTTCAGTGCACACAGGGCAGTATTGCACACCAAGTACACTGGAGGGGCAGGGATGGGAGAGTCAGGAGGTGCATGGACAGACCTAGTTCTGTCCCGCAATACCCCATCATTCCACGACCCAACACCCCACTGGGCCCAGCCTGAGTGCCTGGCCCCCCGAGAGAGCTGCCTCTGACCCTGCTGCCTCTGTCCCCTGCGCTCACCTAGATTGATGCTGTTGGTCACCCGCTGATGCAGCCTCGCTGTCTGGATGGGTTGGTGGTACAGGGGCCACAGAGTGGGGTCACTCACAGCTGCCCACACATGAGACAGCGGCTGGGACACCACGCCCGCCCCCAGGAAGCCGTGTCGAGTGGAAGAGAACACCTTGTTGTACAGCTGCACCTCCTGCTCCTCACCCTGATGGCTGGGGGAGACACCAAGGGCGGGGGAGAGGAGTTGGGGTGAAAACTGGGGTCTGGGGTCACAGAGGATGAGCTCAGGGTGAGGGACTCAAGGAAGCCACAGTGGAGAAGGGAAAGGAGGAGAGAAGGCCAACAGGGCCACAGGGACAGGACACTGTGCAAAGGGACTTACTTCCAGCCGGCTGCTGCACGGTGGCTGAAGAGGTTGTTCAAGTTATCTGAGCAAGCAGCCATTACCTGGGGACACAGTGACCACACCCAAGTTAGTGGGCTGGGTAGTCCCTCGGGCCAGCGTTTACTGAATTTCCCTTTTGTAAAGATGGAGAGCCGCTGAAGAAGCCTGCGCCTGCCCTGCTCTTTCCCTCTTTCTTCCTCCCCACCCAGCAGTCAGCTACAGGAAACCTCACATCAGCCATAGAGATGTCCACGATGTGCTTGGCCAAATCCCGGTAGGAGGAGGAGGAAGAGGTCCCCAGGCTGGACAAGCTGGACGGAGAACAGCAGCAACTGCCCAGGGAGGCTCTGCGGCCTGCAATGAATAAGGTGGAGGCTCTGAGACGGCATGAGCATCGGGGCCTCGGGACAGCAACGGCCTCCTGAGGGACAGTGACTCCCTAGGCTCTAGCAGACCTTAGCCCCCAAGGTTCTCATACTCACTGTAGGCTAAGCTTTTCCAGGCAGACCCAGCCAGATTCAGGTGACTGTTCCTCACTGCAGAGCGGCCTCGCACATCCCCCATCCAGGAGTCTCTGGAATCTGGCAAGTTTGTGTCCACCTGCCAAAGAGAAGATGCTCAGGACCAGAGCAGAGAGAAGGAGAAAGCAGAGCAACAGAAGGCCAGTGCAGGGCTGCCTCCTCGGCCTCTGAGCTGCACCAACAGTTTCCAACGTAAAGGCTCAAGTGAAAGGAGCTTCCCCACTGGAATTACAGGGCACTGGATGCTCCTGAGAAGTCAGTCAACAGCAACAGAATCCAGTCCCTACAGGGTTTCCTTGCCCTTCAAGCCATACATTCAAAGGTTGCTTGTAGGAGAGTTCCAACAGGGATCAGAACAAACTGGTGCCTGAGAAGACAGCGTACTGGTGTCAATGGATGAGAGGCCCTCTGTGCCACTGCAGCAACAGGAATGAGGCCAGTGCTGGAGCTGTGTTTAGCGTGGGTAGCAAACAGCCCAAGTGGGAGGTGGGATAGGGAAGAAAAGCGATGGGCTGTGAGAAGTCTGACCCTTGGCCGCGGCCCCAGGTACAGCAGCTAAGCCAAAGGTCCTAATTTGGGAACAGATGGAGATGATCCTCTGGATCTACAATACAGTCACCCCATCTTTACCTTTACCAGCTCCCCACTGACATGATCTTTGACCTCTGCTTGATCTAACAGGCACGCACCATCCTACTTCTATCATCAGTTCCTAACCTAGTGCTACTTTAAAGACAAGAAGAGGTGAACAAAGACATTCTGTCTCCATCCTTGCTTCCTGACTTCTGCTGCAACATACAAGCGGTCTCTCCTACTTTAGGCAGATTGAGATTTCGTGTCATCTTCTTAAGAACTTTCGCTGCTGATGACCTCTTCACTTACTGCTTCCAGCTCTCTCTCTTCACTAGATTCTTCATATCAGCATTTAAGCCTGCAAACATTTCTCCGACCTTTAAAAACCTTTCTCTAGAGGTATCCTTGCTCTCCCGTTCTTTACAGATAAACTTGAAATGACTGTCACCATTTGCCTTCTCCCACCTTCTACACCCTTCTGAACCCACTCGAATCTAGCCTTTGCTAGATCCATCCAGCTGGTGAACAGGTCCAAGTCTTCCTCTTGCTTTTCACTTGAGATACTTGCATCCTGAATCCCTGGGATCCTGGCTTCCTATCTCTCCAGGTGCTCCTTCCCAGTTTCCCTTGTTGGCTCATCCTCCCCAAACATAAGTTGATATATTGGGATTCTTTCAAGACTCAGGCTTAGCCCTCTTTTCTCACCCTATAATATACTCCTAGCCTGTCTGTTTCCAGGGCTACATGGATGACTTCCAAACATAAATATGTGCAGATTAATCAATAAATATTACTGAGACAATAGGGTCACCATCTGAAGAGAAGGTTACATCAAACCCATTTCATATATCACGCCAAAATAAATTATTTATGCTTTATGGCTCAAAAATACACAGGATGGGGGAGAATTTAATATTACGAGAAAAAAAGTTTTTTCAGTGATCTCATGATGAAGAAGTGCCTTCCTAAACAGGCCACAAAATCCAGAGACCATAAAAGAAAAGACTGATAAAAACTAAATAACATAGCATAAAATAAAAACAAACTAGGAAAAAACACTGACCTTTCAAATGACAGAAGGATAATTTTCAAGGGGTGGGTATAGCTCAGTGGTAGAATGCATGCGCAAGGTCCTGGGTTCAATCCCCAGTAACTCCATTTAAAAAAATAAATAAACCTAAAATTATCTCCCCATATTAAAATTTTTTTCATTAAAAAAATCAAAACCAAAAAAATTTTTTAAACAAACAAAAAGGGTAATTTTCCTAATATAAAGAAAGGCCTCCAAAAACAAAAGAACAACCTAACAGAGTAGACCCAGTACACTGGCAGGCAGAGCAAAAAGACCAAAGGACCAGAAATATCTGAAAAGGCATTCAATCTCAGGCACAAGAGAACTGCAAATTAAAACTAAAATAAAATCTGTTTTATGCCTGTCAGATTGGCAAAGATTGAAGGGAAAAACCCTTAATAAACACTCTGTTAAGCTGAGTATGGGTAAGTAGGCACTGTTATATATTGTTATTTGAAAGTGTAAATAGGTATATTTTGGAAATATTTATCAGACATTTTAAATTAAACATGCACATATCCTTTGACCTAGCACTCCTACTTCTAGGAATTTAACCTATCTTTCATTTAAGTGGAAATAAAACATTTTCAAATATGAACTCAGAGAACCTAGAGAGTATAGTACCCTTGAGTCTTTCTGGAAGAAATTGTAAGAGGAAGAATGACCAGGGTGGAAAAAAGAATGCATGCCAAAGAACTGCAAATGAGCAGAGTCCATTTAACCAGCACTAGAACTCGAATGCAAACACCATAAGCAGTGCAGAAATTCTGTAATAAAAGGTAAAGAGAAAAAAGGAGAGAAGGTGGAAATGCACTGATCTCCTTATGCTCTATAGTCAGGGTGAAAAGAAAACTGCTTAATCAGGCCATTAAGACTATTTATAGCATGCACGAGATCCTGGGTTCAATCACCAGTGCCTCCATCCAAAAATAAACAAATAGACCAAATCACCTGCCCCCCAAAACAAAAACAAAACAAAACAAAAAGAAAGATTATTTAAAGATATACAAGTGATCATGAAAAAGGAAAAAAAAAAGACTTCCAAATTATTGGAAAGAAGACACATATACACCCCCAAAGGAGAGAAAATACAGACCACAAATGAAGATAAAACAAGATTTTTAGAAGCCCATGGAAAATTCATGACTAAAATATCCCTCAAATATAAAAAATAGTAACTATACTTTCTCTGAAATCATACATTCCCTCAACACATGGCAAACAAACTTAAAATTTAATAACAAAATCAGAAAACACAAGGGACTTTCTACCAAAAAGTTTTTAAAAGTTCTTAACAACAATTGGGTAAGGAAGAAATACAAACTGAAATTACAAAATTACCATTAAACAAAGGTAATAAAAAGTATATATCACAACTTGTAGAATACAACTAAAGCATTCTTGGAGGGAAATTTTAAACTTTAGATATTTACATCTAAGAAAAATAAAAACAAATGAATTAATATTGTTAACAACTGAATGTCAACAAATGAGATAACTTAGATGAACCAAATTCCTAGAAGACACAAACTACCAAAACTGACTCAAGATGAAATGGAAAATCTGAATAGACATTTAGCAAGTAAATTTAGTAAGAAAGGTTTAGTAATAAATTTAGTAATAAAAAAACATTCCCACAAAAGAAAAAAGATGGGATAGCTTCATTAGTGAAATACATTTCTTCCAAAAAATAGAGGAGGGAAAACTTCTCAACTCATGAGGCCAGATTACCCTGATACAAAAAAAAAAAAAAAAAAAAAAACAGACAAAGACATCACAAGGAAAGTACAGACCAATATCCCTTATGCATACAGACACAAAAATCCTCAGCAAACTACTAGTAAACTGAATCCAGCAACATAAAGAGGATATACACCATGACCAAGTGGGATTTTTCCCAAGAATACCAGGTTAGTTCAACACAGAAAAATCAATATAATACACTGTATTAATAGAGTGAAGCAGAACACCCTCATGATCATCTCAGTAGATACAAAAAAAAATATTTAAATAAATCCAGTATTTTCATGATAAAAACACTCAATAAGCTAGGACTAGAAGGAAATTTCCTCAATTTGATAACGATTATCTGGGGGGAGGGTGTAGCTCAAGTGGTAGAGCACACGCTTAACGTGCATCCAGGTCCTGGGTTCAAGCCCCAGTTCCCCCATTAAAATAAATAAATAAGTAAACCTAATCACCTCCCCCGCCCAAAAAAAATCACACTGATAACGATTATCTATGGAAAACCCACAGTTAACATACTTCATTGTAAAAAATCTGGATGGTTTTCTCCTGAAGTCAGTAACAAGACAAGGCTGTCTGCTCTTACCACTTCTATTTACCATGGTGCTCGAGATTCTAGACAGGGCAATTAGGCAAGAAAACATCAACAACAGCAACAAAAAGATAGATAATATGACCCTGTGTATAGAATACCCTAAGGAGTCTAAAAAACTATTAACTAATAAGCGAGTTCAGCAAGAGTTCAGGAGACAAGATCAATACACAAAATCAATTGTATTTCTGCATAGTAGCAATGAACAAACCAAAAATGAAATTAAGAAAATAAGCCCACTTACAATAGCATCAAAAAGAATACTCAGGAATAAATTCAACAGAACAAATGCAAAATTTATACTCTGACAACTATGAAACATTGTTGAAAATAAAGACCTGAATACATGGAAAGGTATCCCATGTTCGTGGATCAAAAATCTTAATATTGTTAAGATGGTAACCTGCCCCAAACTGATCTACAGGTTCAATGCACTCTCAAAATCCCAGATGACTTATTTTCAGAAGTTGACAAATTTATCCCTAAAATTCAAATGCAAAGTCAAAGGACCCAGAATAGCCAAAACAATCTTGAAAAAAACAAAGCTGGAGGACATATTCACAATCTACTATAAGCCTAAACAGTTATCAAGACAGTGTGGTATTGGCATAAGGATAGACACATAATTCAATGGAATAGAACTGAGTCCAGAAATCAGTCCACACATTGATGGTCAGTTAATCTTTCACAAGGGCGCCAAGACAATTCAGTGGGAGAAAAGAACAGCTGTTTGAACAAACGGTACTGGGACCACTGGATATCCACAAGCCAAACAATGAAATGTGATCCCTAATTCTCAATATAGATACAAAAATTGATTTAAAATGGATCAAAAAGAAAAAAAGGACACTAAAAAAGAAAAAAGAGGACACTAATGAACTCATCTATAAAACAGAAACAGACTTGCATAGTAAACAATCTTATGGTTACTGGGGGAAAGGGGATGGGAAGGGATAAGTTTGGGAGTTTGAGATTTGCAAATGTTAACCACTATATACGAAAACAGATCAAAAAAACAAATTTCTTCTGTATAGCACAGGGACCTATATTCAATTTCTTGTAATAACCTTTAGTGAAATAATATGAAAACAAATAT